TAATCACTTATGCTCAGCTGTTAGGAAAGGATTAGAAGACCGCAGTACCATAACCACTGCAGGTCTTAACAGTTTGTATTTGGAGTATGCTGATTCAGAAAGTTTTATGTGAATGTGATGTATACTTTTAAAGTTGTGAATATTGTGTAAAATTGTGTATTTTCCTGCCTGTGATAATTATGTTAGCCCTTTGTGTTCAGTAATTATATCACAGGCAGAGGGGAGGATTTTGTGTGTAATTGCTGGGAGTGTCTGAATGTATTATTGTACGTATTGATTGGTTGTTCTGCAAAACCTTGTGGGTGGTACTATGTGTGTTAAATGTGCATAAAAGCAGAGTGTTGGATTAAAGGACCACTATGGGGACCCAGACCACTTCAGCTTAATGAAGTGGTCTGGGTGCCTGGTCCAGCTAGGGTTAACCCTTTTTTTTATAAACATAGCAGTTTCAGAGAAACTGCTATGTTTATAAATAGGTTAACCAGCCTCTAAAGCCTCTAGTGGCTGTCTCATTGACATCCGCTAGAGGCGTTTGCGTGCTTCTCACTGTGAAAATCACAGTGAGAAAACGCAAGCGTCCATAGGAAAGCATTATGAATGCTTTCCTATGAGACTGGCTGAATGCGCGCGCGCAGCTCCTGCCGCGCATTCAGCCGAAGAGGAGGAGAGGAGGAGGAAAGCTCCCTGCCCGGCGCTGGAGAAAGAGGTAAGTTTAACACCTTCCTCTCCCCAGAGCCCGGCGGGAGTGGGACCCTGAGGGTGGGGGCACCCTCAGGGTACTATAGTGTCATGAAAACGAGTATGTTTTCCTGGCACTATAGTGGTCCTTTAAAGCTTCAGTTCTACTTCACCCTCAATTTGGAGTTCCATCTCTTATTGGGGGAATCTACTGCAAGGGATTGCTATGCTCTGCGTATTCCCTTGCTATAATCACTCCTAAGCTCTTTTATGAGCTTGTTCTTCACTCTGAAAGAAGAGAGGTTCGGCCTGCGGTGGTTGTGGTGTCTGCTAGAGTTCTAGGAGCCCTGCGGAAGCACTAGGAGCATCCTTCAACGGAGATACCCAGTCGGGGTGCCAGACGATCCGTTACAAATACAGCCATCCTGTTCCAGTAAAATCTTGAGGTCTAAAAATACCAACTAATGTTCGTCTATTACATGCGTCAACTTAAGAATAATGTCATTGTCATTGAGAGTATTGGCGAAGTTTTCGAACATGGGGATGGATCCTGTCCACAGGAGCAACATGTCGTCAATGTATCTATGCCAGCTCAAGATGTATTCATGAAAGTGGCTGAATTTAGGAGTCGTGACGACATGTTGCTCCCACCACCCCAAGAATAGATTCGCATAGGTGGGTGCACAGGCCGTCCCCATGGCGTTACCGGAAATCTGGAGGTAATAACGCCCATTGAAAATAAAATAGTTGTGTGTTAAGATGAACTCAAGAGTTGCCATGATGAAGTTTTTTTGTGAGTCAATGTATGATGAATTGTCTAAAAAAAGACCTACATGCCCTTAACCCCATTGCATGAGGGATGTTGGTGTATAGTGCTGCCACATCCAATTTTGCCAGTTGTGTATAAGGTGGAACTATCATGTCCTGCAATGTCAAGAGGGTGGACTTGGTCTCCTGTAGATAGGATGGTAATGTGATAACAATGGGGTGCAAAAATTTTTCAATGAACTTGCTAAGAGATTCTGTAAGGCAATTATTACCAGATACGATGGGTCTGCCGGGAGGCGGTCGAATACCCTTATGTATCTTTGGCAAACAGTAATATGTTGCTGTAGTTGGATTTTTGTGTGGCAATATAAATTTTGAATTCTTCTTGACTGATAATGTGTTGAGTTATGGCATCGTTTAGAAAGGTGTCGAGCTCACTTACATACTTGGTAAGTGGGAGAGGGGAGAGTTCTGTAATATGTAGTGTCATCGAGATGTGATAAACACATACTGATGTATTCAGAATGGTTAAGGAGGACTGTGTTGCCCCCTTTTTCAGCTGGTTTGATTATTACCTGCTGTTGTAAGTCTTTTAGTGCCTTGCATTCCAAAAAGCTTAGATTATTGGTGACAGGAGCGTGATTGGTTGTTGTTTCGAACTCATTTAATGACATCTGAACAAAAAGATCTACATGGGGTGTGTGTATGAAATTTGGAGTGAAATGACTTGGTGGTTTGAAGTCTGTTAGCGGCCTGGTGGTGTCATTTTCATTTAGAAGGCTATCGAGAGTTTTCGAAAGTTTGTAATCCTGTGTGGACAGGCCTAACTCATTGGCCATAAGTTGTTTTTTTTTTTGGCATGCATTATGTTAAGGGCTAACTTCCTGCCAAAGAGGTTCAAGTCCTTGGACCAATTAAATCTATTGCAGGTGGGAGTTGGTGCAAATGATAATCCCCTGTTCAGCAAACTAATATGATGAGCTGATAATTGAAAGTCTGATAAATTAATTATTTTGTTAGGGGCTAGGGCCTCTAGGTACAGCTCTGATTCTTGTATGCCTGTCTCTCAATTGACCCCATTGTTGGCCGGGCTGTTCCTGTTCTAAAAAAGGATTTGAAGAGGGGGCAGTAGTGGTTTGAGGGTTATTGGTGTCCACAGAGATCAGTATATCAAGGAACGAGACTATCTTGTCTTAAGAATGCTCTTATTGATATTTGGTTGGGAACTTGAATCTCTAGCGTGGTCAGTGTACCATTTAAATTGGGATCTTCGCCTAAATTGTGGCAGTTGATCCTGGTCTGACCAATCGGTTTCACCAGATGAGGAGCCTCTGTAACTATTTTGACGCCTAGGAAATTTGTTTGATTGTCTAAAGATTGTACCGTTTTTGGAATCTTTAAAATCTCCTGTAAGGCCTGTACATAAGCAGTCATGTTGCTATGCTGCGGCTGGAGGGTTTGGGGGAAGTAAAGTCCTGTCTTGGGGGCACATCCAAACAGTATTTTAAAGGGGGACAGGTGTGTTTTAAGATATGGAGTAATTCAGTCCATGGTTTCCCTGCCTCTTGCATAGCTTTGTTATCTTATTCTTCAGGGTGCCATTTGCCCTCTCTACTTTCCCACTGCTTTGGGGATGATATGGTGTATAGAAGGCCTGACTGATCACAGTGCTTGCATTATTTCTTGTATTATTACCTCAGATATCCCATATCTACATACCAGTTCCTTCAATAGCTTACTTGCTGTTGCCTTCGATACTGGGTAGGCTTCAAGAGATCAATGCACACCAACACACATATATAAATATATATATATATATATAAATATATATATATATATATATATAAACAAAGCAAAAAATGAGAGCACTCCATGGATTTGGTAAATCAAATTACTGTATTCAAATAGCACAAAAAAAAATCGACGTTTCGACCGTCTAGCGGTCTTTATCAAGATGCTGTCATATACAAAAACCTCAAATATATACATAAACGCTTGTTAAACTTACCCAATCACCAAGTGCTCCCTGTGTGTCCAATCTGCCATATGAGTGAAGCCGTAAATTGTGAATCATTATGTTAATTGCCGTAAAGTGACGTGTGGTGAAATCACCATGTGTTGCCTAGAGACGGCACAGCTGTTTAAAAACCAAATGTCGGCAGAGATTTAAAATCAATACGGAGGATAAATAAAATTATATGTTGCATATGTGTTTTCATAAATGTCTAAGCAACTGCCTAATTGATCGTAGGATACTAGAGTGAGCCAGGAATGGCTAGAAACGATTGCTCATATAGGGACTCAGTAAGAAAGACTGGTGTATTGGTAACTGTAGACCTGTGTAGCCTAATAGAGCTAACTCAAATACTACCTAACTCCTTATTAAATTGGGAACCCTAGCTGGGAAAGCCATGTGTGTTGCCAAATCACAAACCTAAACAATAAGAACAGGCATCAATTACAGAAAACAGGCTGGCTTAGCATAATGTGAGTTGTCAGTATATAACAGAGAGTGTGTGTGATGTTGACCCTTTATCTACTGGGGTCCATTTGTAGTGTAGAGTGATCAGCATGTGTGTGATGAAATAAATAAACACAGGGAATATTAAATGGTGAGTGACAAATCAGTATGTGTGAATTGTTTATTTATTTCATCACACACATGCTGATCACTCTACACTACAAATGGACCCCAGTAGATAAAGGGTCAACATCACAC